GCCAGAGAGTGAGAGGGAGAGAGAGTTTGTGAAATTTCTGTGTGCATATAGAAATACAAGTAGAAAGACCAAGAAAAAGTTTACGGTCTAGTGTACATATCTGAAGTTAACCCTTTGTGCGAACACTGACTGGAGGTGTAATAATCAATGCTGTAGAGCTGTGAGATCGTAAATCTTGTTCAACAAACAAGTTCAAAAAATGAATGGTCAATAAGAATCTGTTAGCATTTACAGTAGTGGGATGACACGGAGTTTGGAAATGTCATATATCTTCTGAGCATCGCAAGTGTCACTTGAGGCGAGAGAAAACACACAAAAAACCACCACACCACGCCACCACTGCGGGATGGGCCGGTTGTAGAATGAGAGCTAAATAGTCAATATCTTCAGTAATGCACCCTGTTATTGAGCTTAAGGATCTCACCAATTGTCGCGTACTCTGACTTGCATGGGACCTTCTGTTTGAGTCTAGTCAACCATCCTGACCACCCACTCAACAGTCCAAATAATCTCATTTGCCCACCTACTTGGACAAAAACTGAAACTGTGGCAATATATATATTTACTACTCACGATTTCCTCCCTATTTATTAGAGAGATGCGTACAAACAATTTATTCTGCTTACGGTCCACCCAGTTGACAACCCTGTGTTGTCCTCCCATTGTCCCCATCCATGATTTTTCACACAACATTGTGACAGCAGAGCACATTAAATCGCATGTTTCTTCAAGAGTCTTGTTCCACTTGACGACACTACATGAAAAATTGCCTCGTGTATTAGAAACTTGTCTTTCATGAGAAGGACGGAATAATATCGATACAGGTGAAATCTACATACATCAACTGACAAGGCATAAACAGTAAGTGTACCTTTACCCTTACTTGCTCACTCAATTCTCCAGGGTTTCACTGAAGAGATATTGTAAACTCTTGGTATTTAATGATTTGTGTGATTCTCACCATTGAGACTTCGTGCATAGAAAAGGCAGCACATTGCCACCAACAAAGTCCCGTCAGTCAGTGCCTAATCGTCGTTTGTACCAATCTGTAACTTATTTCCGTTACAGCCCAGTCTAGTGGGATGTGTATGTAGAGAGACACATGAGGAGGCTGACAGTTATTGATTGATCTATCATCATGTATACCCAGTACTGCATAAGCATCATTATAATTAAAATATGAGGACTACGTAGGACGACACAAAACCGGAACAGAAGGAACACACCTACACGCACAACCTCCTCCATTAACGCATGACAAATGGTCCTTAAACACATGGGTTGGTGACTTTAATCTACAACAATTTTGGTTTTTGTATGTATGTATATTGTTCCGTTTCCTTTATTTTATTTTGTGAAATTTTTTTCAGCGCGTATCCACATGGGAAAAAGAATAGGATCATTTATATCAGATAATAGGACTCTAATATGGAAAAGTAAACAAAAATGGAGGTAGACAAGAAGCAATTGGTCATATTCATTTAAACCTTCACAAATTTCAAATCAACAGAGTCAAGCAATAAATTAGGAAAGATGGGAATACATGATTTTTTTCACTTGTGAAAAGTTATAAATTGGAAGGCAAATAAAGAGAGAGATGGATTGGAAAGAGAAATTACCAAGAAAATGACAAAGACAGCCCGGTGTGTAGTTGTGGTATCCAACTGTGACGGCTCATCTTGAAAATATTTTAGAAAAATTCCGAAAATGAAGCACTTGATGGTTAAAGTCAAAAGTGGTTGTTGGTTATGGAAAAAAGAAGACGATTCCCAGGTAATCCACGATATTTGATACAAAAATTCGAGTGAGAGATCCTTTTTGTTGGAGTGAGAATGTTTGAACTTCAGACTCGAATTGATAATGAAATGGAAATGACATCCAACAAATTAACTCCCTCCTAGGAATCTGACCCTCGTATCTAATTTCATACGTAATTTATAACGAATGTTCAGTCTCAAAATCAGAACAAGCTTCAAACCTCGGATAAACTTGGTTTCGAAATTTCAGTGGTAATTAGTGACATGATGCCCTCGTTTGTCAAATCTGGGTCAGACATCATCCTCACAAGTCAACATTTCCGAGTATTCCTTATTGTCGCTTTTCTTTGTTCTAAAGACAAAGCACTAATTTGTGTACAACTCACTTTTTATGCTTTATTATATTTTTGATTCAATGTCTTAATGACAAGAAGGAAGGCATTATTTAACTATGTGTACTAGTGAAGTAGTGACTACTAAATATACGTCCACTCTTGATTGGTCCCTATTTCTGACATGGAGTTGAACGGTAAAAGAATGACTTTAATTGATTTACATCTGAGGATTCAATGAATAAATAAAAAATCTCGTCGTGTTCATTTCATCTCAAACTTGGCGAGCAAGAAGGCTTGGGCGAGACCTTTTGTCTATTCATTCACGTATAAACGTGTACATGGTTGAAGAAGCAGAAAATGATTTGTTTGTATACGGTTGCTACATCAAGCGATACTGTATGAAAAGTAGCGTTTTGACGGGATTCATTTGTTAGTTGTGTAACTACACTCCAGAGTTTGGTGGGTGGTAGGGATGACCGCATGCTGAGACTCTATTGACCTCTGCCCTCGCACCAGGCAAAGTATTGTTGTCTTCCTCCATTGTACATACTTGTGCACTCTACCTCGCATTTTAACGTGTTGGAAGAGTGAGCATATTACATATAAAGCACAATTTATTACTCAAATTATGCATTATGACTTCTTATCTGGGAATTGTCAGAGCTGAATATGCTATTTATTAGGCTGGTATTTTTCGGTGCATGATAACTAGAGCTTCCCACGGGACGAAACAAGACCTGTACATGGTATGTATGCATTTTATTAGCATGGAAGAATCATCCGCGACACATGCACCGTAAATTTTTAGACAAAAATGTCCCACATTCAAAGGATCATCTTGAAGAAGCGACACTATGTACATATCATGTGAAGCCCTAAATATTTATGGCTAATTCATTTTTCTTTATTTGATCGTGGAAAGCACAATTGTATGCTAGACCAATGCATGTGTACATATTTATGTCCGAACACAATTATGCGAACCAACACTATGTCATATGTGTACATATATAGTTAGATAGATACTTACATTTGCAGATATCTGTACATACGTATATGACTTGAAGCAAATGACATATGTATTTTGTATTAAATAATAACCAAAGGCATGTAAGTGTATCCGCTTTTGCACTTAAAACTGAAAGGAAGTGTTGGACCCTAATTAGTTAATTTGAGTAGTTTATTTTTGTCAAGTAGGTGGTCCAAGTTGAACGACTGAGGTGACACTGGAATCCAGAATCGTCATCTTGTGTTAAAGAGGTTCTTAACAAGGTCCATGTGTTGAACACAAGAACATCCTTTCATCTTTCTTAAACACCATGAATTTACTTACCAACTCCACAAAAGACGCAGGGTACATATCTGTGATGTGAGAAAAAGCGTAATTCTTAATTATCGAATCCAAAGATGATGACAGACTGTTCTTTTATCCTGATACATATAAATAATTGGAAACATGCCAAACCCAATTTAGCTGGGTCGACGTGATATTGCGTCAGTTCACCAACTCAGTCCAGAAAATCGTTGAAAGAGTGGAAATATGTGTACATGCACATAAATACGTATTATAAATACATTTACGAGTATATATAAAAACCGACGCAAACCTGCAATAATAATTGTACCACCAACAGTACTCGACACGATGGGCACTGTAAGAAGGGGCAGGTCCTAATTACTGCTTTCATCAGTCATCATCAAAGCCTCAAAATTAAAGAAGAAATGAAAATGGGGAGAGCAAGGATTATTTACTAGCCGAGAAATTCCTTTGCCTTGTATTTAAATTGTATAGTTCATGATTTGATTTTCAAGATCGCGTGAGGCTGCTTGTTCTTCTGGTACAATATGTAAGTGCATCTACCCCACATACGAGATGTCTGCGTAGATAGCTTTAAACGCAAGCCATGTAAAAGGGCTTCCATCCATATGGGTAATACAATACAAAGTTGTATAGTGAACCAATGCCTACCCAAGTAAAGACAATTCTGCAAATTAAAGTGAGTGATTTGTGTTGAAATCTGTGCAAAGTGTTGTAAGGAAAAGGTAATAAAATTGGATTGATAAAATACCAGATGAGTTTACTCTCAAACAACATTTGATAACAGTCAATAGTATAAAAGATGCTTGATCGAGTGTATGTATACAAAAATCAATGTATCATCAAAATTCTCATCAAAATTCAGGAAGAACTTTTTAAAACTAGCCGAACTTGTAATCGCTTCTTGTCATCATGAAATTCTTTTCCTTAATTAATCCCCCACCATCAAACCTGCTGGTTGCTTTCAAAATATTTGTGAAGTTTAGATACGCCTTTCCCTCATAACTCATCATTGGCCTCTATTAGAACAAACAGTGAGAGAAGAATTAACGACCCCCATGCAACCAGAAAATCTTATAAATTCTTTGTTCTGAAGGAAAACCTTTGAGTGTTGCATACATATTTTTGAAATAAATATCACGACAATTTTTTTCAGTCACACTTTTTTATTCATTAAATCTTATCAGTATCTGTATTATTTTTGCACTTTGTAAATTACATACGTAAATCATCATTTATGGTCTAGCAATGTTAAAAGGAACTTGAATGCATAAGGAATTAAACGCTTCTGTACATACTCATCATAATAAGTAAATACAAATAATCATATGAAACTCGTCACTAGCACATTCTTTAAATTACTACTACTAAAAATGGAATACTAAATTATGTACCACAGTTAAAGCTGTTTTTTAATATCTTGAACATGATGACATTATGCGTACTTATTATTAGAGATTTCACATCGCAACTGTCATCAGGTAACCTTCATACACACTTAATACTTTTATAATTAGGGTAATTTGTTTGAAATGAATTATAGAATTTTATGTACACTATTGGTGATCATGATCTACGATTTGTTGGTGGTAATAATAATAATTATTATTGATGCAAACATTTTAAAGCATAAAATGTGGAATGTTGGATCAGGAGCAGGTTACGCTAAGGTTACGCCTTTTTTATATGTTGTCACTACTACGGTGTCCTGATATGGAAATGGGACTGGTCCTTACGTGGAAATGAGAAAAAGACCGCAATTACCTCAGTTTCGGTCTCAAATTATGAGATTGTCTCATCCCGACCGGAATCTGGAGATCCTAACGATGACGGACTTTTGTTGCTTCCTCCCCCTCCGCCTGCACCACCGTGATTAACCCGTCCTAGATTATTCATGGGAATCGAGTACGGTGAATAACGATGGATTCCCGTTCCTAATGGACTCGTGGCTGGCCCAATTGATGAAGGACTTCCTGGATAAAAGGGCCGTGGAAGGCGAAGTGTGCAGGACGAGTCATTATTACTCCCAGCGACATTATTCCCAGGTGGGCTACCAGCTCTGCTTCCATTAGAACCACCGTTGGACATTGGGCTGGTATTGGCGAACGGATGATGATGATGGTGGTTTGCTGATGAGGGCATTGAGGTCGGGACAGTATTTGACGACGAAGCTGCGGCCATAGCTGCTGCCAATTGTGCCTGATGAGCCAAGATCGTTGGACCTAAACCATGCAAACTTGCCCATTGGGTCCAGAGCTGGATGGGAAGTGGGACCGGTTGAGGGCAATTATTGGGACTGGAGGCTCCTCCACCATTACTGTTTCCACTGCCACCACCACCAGCTCCTCCACGACTACTCAGATGATGCGACACATTCTGGCTGGAATTAGCTGCAGCCATGGCGTACAATTGAGATAAACTACCATTTATGTTCAAGGCATTGGCTGCTGCCGCCATGTCGGAAATACGTGCGGATTGGGCTGACGATGGACTTGTAGGGCCAAAGGGTGGAAAGCCACTAGATGACATTCCGTTCAAGTGGTTCATTTGATTTTGCAGGTGTTGACTCATCCCGTGGCTCATTCCGGGTGGAGATGGGAATGGGTTTCGGAAACCAAGTAAGTGCATTCGAGCCTAAAGAAAATACAAGAAAAACACTTTGACAATTTTTTCAGTTTTGATATGAACATGATTTCTTAGAGTCTTGGAACAAATTTTAATCTTAATCAACTTTCCAAATTTGAATCTCAATCCATCTCAATCATCTACATAGGTACACCCATAAGTTTGTAGCTTCTGTGCTCACCTGCAGAATTGCTTTCTCCTCTAGAGTTAGTGAACTTGATGCCATTTCCAACTCAAAGGGACGCATCGGTGGTCGCATGTACTGATTTTCCACCAACATTGACTCCATCGTCTCTCTGGAACAACACAATTATTTATTTGAGGAGGTCTACGCCATAGGTTATGTCTTATGCTCAACCTTCATCCTTCCCACTAAATGCAATGCATATTCTGCATGTACCACATATGTACGTACGTCTAAATGAATTTGCACGAGGAGCATGCAATATATTTATAAAGGTGTGTGTGTCGAGGTGGTAGTAATAAAATAATAATGATGGTGAATGGTGCCAATCTGCGCAAGTTTTAATTTACTGTTTCAACATTTAATAAATACTTGCCAACCATGATTTAGTACACTTTGCCCTGGGCTCCATATAAATGTGACCCTGGATGATTTATTTATTTTTTCTTTGCACATTGCTCGTGTTAAGTTTCAAAGCAGAAATTAAATGACATGATGTTATAACACAAAATTATTTTATGCAACTTTACTGCAGTATAGAAAACAAACTGCTCCATCTTGTTCATGCAAAATAAAGTTGAGGCAGAGTGATAGAGAAAACAAGTTTTGGTTAAAAACGTGTTCATGTATGTGTTCATATGTACGTACAGGTAACCTGGGCATTCATAGTGATAGAATCTCATTAAAGAACTCGAGGTGTCAGGTAAACCCTACCACCTCCGTCTGGCTGAGTTTAGAAGAGAAGAAAAATTAACCTTGCTTAATACCTGGCCACACAAAACGACATGCAATAATCGAAAAGCAGCCAGGTTTCAATAGCATGATCACATCACACACCACGAAACACCAGCATGTATGTAACAATCCATGTAACAATGTAGGTACATAATATGTAACAATGAACATGGACAAAAGGATGCAGTAGAATTTACATGAACATGGAAATCAAAGATTATGTAGTGTTCTCCAATGTTAATTCTGTTGTATCTGTATAGATGATTATATTGAGGTTGAAAGGGTGGGCGAGCTTTGTTGTTTAAGACTTAAGATGTATTTAATTAGCTTTGAAATGGGCCGACTCCTCTGTCGGTCTGTATTAAAGGGCAGTGATGGCTACAATTTACAAAATTTCAATCCTAAAAACTTTTGAAAAAATTCCACTCAATTTTCAACGTTGTTGTTGAGTCTTCTTCACTCACTCGTCGTCGTCGTCGTCGTCGTCCTCGTAGAGGTTTATATATTTCTGGAATCAATGTATGTAAAATTTAACTCGACAAGACGTGGGGGCTGACCCGAGAGTGAAAAATTTACAATGCGTTCGAGAAATGTATGCAGCAAGGGGTATAAAAAACTCAAGCATTTCAACTAATCTAATCCTCCTGGCCGACACTTAAGTGCCACTACAAACCACATAAGTTGTACATTTAGATGGAGAACAGAGACGACCGCCCGCATTCTCATCATACAGACGCACAGCAGCTCTATATATTTTACTTTCATCTCATCTTTACTCAATTTCCTTTGCTGCTGCTACCACCACTAATAATACTGCTTGCCCATCTTCGCCTTTTCCACCACCACCAGCTAACTTTCCAACGACCGCAACCGTATCCAATTCGACCACATTACATTCACTGGGGGAAAACAAATGCCAAGTCCTTTGGTGGCCCTATTATTTCCATTAAGAAATGCTCTCTTTTTTTACTCCAATCCATTTTAATTTTCGGTATTTATCTCTCCGCCGTGTCGAAGAAGGAAAAGTAAATAAAATGTTGCCATATGCCTAGGCTTTCGCTTTTCGTCCCATATAATTTGCGGTTAGAGTACAGGTGGTATAAGTATAAAGTAGTGGAAACGGTATAATACTCTGTGACATTAACCTAGCCAATTCAGGTGTCATTACAGTGCAAAAAACTAAATTATAAGAAAGTTTCACGCGTAATTGTAAAATTGGTTAACTCGTGATGAGAGTGTAATAGAAAAAAGTTAGGGTGGAAAAGAAAACTTTGAAACTGCGAAACAAATTATAAAGCATAGTAGAGAAAAAGTGGCAAGGTGATGGTGGTCATATATGTAGTTAGCGTGATATATACTTATTTTGTCAACTTCACAAAGAAATGATTGATCTAAATGACAGACTTTAAGAACATAACGATAAATAGTTTTTATCCATTTTAGAAGAAAATCCTTAAAATAAAAAATTCATTAAGTGCAAAAAATCAAGTTATGCTAAAGTAATAAAGTTAAATTAAACTCGAAAAAAACTTGCCTTTCGAATTCAGTCAACCTGGATGAATCCCTGAAGCCCTTAGCTGTAAAAAAATATACATAAGATTAATGTAAAAATTTCAGAAATATATTCTATATTTTTTAAGGACTCTGTTAAATACCGAACGGGTTACTATCGATCTTCAATTTGGTGATCTGTAAAAGTAAAGAAAAAACATTGGTAAATGTAGAAATTTCATTACCACAGTTGTCCACCCGTAAATTTAGGAAATGAGCAAAAACTGGTGATACAAAAGCAGCTTTTTACAGATGCACGCGACATCAGCAGCCATTCAAGCTTGTCAAGATAAAAATAGCTTTATTAGCGAGATTCATGTAACAAGAAGCCTCTGAATGTGTAGAAGTGTATAGTAGTTGATGGCAAACATATACGATAAGTCATATAATAATTGTTGGCACCCTGTCCTCAGATAAATCAGAGCAGGCGGTTCATTATATAAGAGGATTGCGCATTATTGAGTTTTGTATGGATTGGATGTATCATGTGCGGCAAAATAAGCAACTCAACACGCTGCATCACATTTTCTTTTTTTGGCAGGTGTGAGTGAAAGAGAGAAAAAAGTACATGGTTCGAGAGTCGTGGTAGCGTCTATCAGTCATCCCTTCTCTCTTGGCCTATTACGACCCAAGTTTTCGCGTCAACTTCTTGTAAGCTCATTAATCTTTGGTAGTCGGCGTGCCATGGTGGCACATACGGAGGACTCGGTGCATCATGTGGTGTCGTTCCGCTTATGCAAAGAGGGCTTTCGTTCGAGTCTTGTTGGGCGTGAGATGGAATGGGATCAGGAAGAACAAGGAGGAAGCTCCCGAGAAAGAAGTAGTAGTTTTGGGTATGGTTTTGAGTTATGCGGGTATCAAATGGTCCGTAGCATTTTAGTCGTGTTCGCAAGTATGGTGCAATGCGGTTTTTAGAGGATAATTGGGCCACCCTGGTAGACTTCTCGATTCTTCTCGTCTGCATGATGAAGTGTCGAGATCACCTTCCAACACCACATTTTGCATGCCATCACACTTTGCTTTCATTTCCTCGTCTTCCTCTCCCCGTCGCGAGTTGGGCCTGTGTCAGTAGCTGCCTAATTAGATTGGGGTGAGAGGAGACTTATTATTGCTGCATGTTTATAGGAGAGCGAGATGTGTGCGCCGTTAATTATTACTGCTTCCTTTCTCAAAGTGTAAATGTGAGGCTGTATTTCATGTCATACACTTTTCGGCCCCTTCTGCCATTGTCAGAGGCAATAATGCTAAATGAGAGTCTCATAATGATTAGGATTCAAAATATGATGCGTCAATACATATCCTTCAAGTTATAGTTTATCGCTTCCAGATTTAAAACCAGTGTATTGTAGAATGAAAGTGAATATATACTTTCTTTTTGCTGCGGCTGTTTGAAGTTTTTTTCAAGCAACTCATTCTTACGCAATAAGGTATTTTATAAGTATCTGCTTCTGCGATTATTCAAGAGGTTTTCTCATCACTGCACGCATGAATTGTGACACCGAGATAATTACGCGAATGGCAGTTTTGCCACAACAGCCGATGAATAAAACGCAATTACTCGTGTTTATTGAACAACAAGAGCAAATTGAACGACAACGACAGGTAGTCCGACTGGCTGGAACAAATGTTCATTTAAACTGCGTGATATTAGTGTGAAGCACAAACGACTATCTAATAATTGAAGGATTTAATGGCACCAATTTTATTACATGGTCAGAGAGCGGATGGATGGATGAATTAGATGCATGCTAATTACCCACTGGAATAATAATCTATGCCATGTTCTACACTGGCCCATCCTGCCCGCTTACTTGCCCGTGTGATGTTCCTGGATGCGTTTATTGGAAGCGGACCAGACGGAACGGTCATTAGCTAATAGCCTCAACTCTATCCCACTCGGAGGAATCAGAAAAAGTGAAACGAATGGCGTGTGGACATGTAAAGGCCTGATTCGGTTCGAACCTTGTCTCTCTCTCTTGAAGCATATGTGGTAGATTTGTAATGTCGATAATAAACGGTAATAATGATGAGCTTTGTTGGGTAAATTGTTGAATAGCACGATGACGACGATGGCCGATAAAGAGAGTTGGCTGGCAGGCCATGAAGAGGACGACAGGATGAGAAGAGTGGGAATAATAAATAACGAATGATAATGGAAATTCATCATCCTTGATATCGAAAATGCGACCACTGAGTCAAGTGGCTCTTCTATGTTTATTAGCACAACAACTCAAACAGTAATTGGTAGATGGGTCCATATAATATTTTTACTTTACATGTGCACTAATAATGTGCATGTACTTGTGCTTATTAGCCAGAACCTTCTGCTTTTATCAAAACGATGCTCTTCACATGAAAGATCGCGTGGCAAACTGGCAGGGGCTCACACTTTACATGTGAAGAAAAAAACTCCCAGTGCTGCACATACTCCCACATTACATGTGTCCATTATTGTGTAGCCCTTATTATATTGTGTTCCATTGCATCGCAGAGGGGGTTATTATTTTATGCGATGGTGTGGCAGTGCCTGCCATGTCCGTACGTGTAGTAGTTTTCCCGAAATTGACGAGTAAAATAGTGTAAGGTGCTCGCATGACAAGCCTATTCACACCAAAAGCTCTACTTATTTATTTCAGGCGCCTCTATTCCAGAAACTATTACGGACATTGATACATTGATAAATTGTATCGAGTGGAGGTTTCTATTTGCAGAGGTCCCTTCTTTGCTTGATAGGATTGTCGAATCACCACTTTCATTTTGAGAACTTGGCACGCAATTATCGTCTCGGCTAATAGCTACCATTACACCCGTCTCCTCGTGAAAGAGTGCACAAGAAGGCCAAACCAAAATTTCAAATAAAAGACTGCTTTACTTTGTCCTCCATTCTTCCATGAATTATGGATTTTATTAATGATACAGTTACGACCCATTATTTGCACAACCGGACTCATTTCAAGCTTGGGTTTGAAGACTGCAAAATTCTGACAATGTATTTATTTCTTCATTATTACTATTATCGTGGCAAGCAACTCTTGTTACGGATTGCATGTGGAATTGGGCAAGTATTGAATGATGTAAGAAAAATTGTGAGAGGTTACACTTTAGTTAATAAATAGGCCCACCTCTAAAACCAATTCAGCACCCACAGTGTCAATGAAAGCATGAGCAACTTAAATAATAGTTTCAACCGACCAGTTAAATAGAACTACTTTTATCGAAGGAAATTGATAATGACTTTAACTCGATGCTTACTTGAACAATATACATAATGTCGGTAAGCAAATCAATCAGTCTGTATAAAAAATAGTATTCTAATTTGCAGTCTCAAATTGTTAAACTGATTAGCATTGCTGCAAATGATCAGAACGATGCCTACTAAAACTATTGCATAATCATTTTGATCTTAATGTCGACTAATAGTGTTTCATAACATGTATTCGATTATATGATTGACATAACATAATCGTAGTTACATACATAGTTTTGCAGTTGCATATTATTATTCTCAACTATTTGTCGTCCTTAGGTGTGTCTATCTGTTGATACCCAATGCGGAGTACAGTTGTTTTCGTTAAGGCAAGGTTCTTAATGTATTACATAACTGTATACCGTCTTGATGACATTTGATTGAAGCTCTGAGCGAAGATTTTCACCAAATAGTGTGCAGTGATCTAATCATTTGAAATAACAAATTAAGAATATTGATATTCTGGCTGCTGCTGCAGCACTAACAAGGGAAAATACCAAGGTGTCAAAGCGAGTGAAAGCTTGGCACCTATACCAAAGTGTGCCTAATACTTCGCTTATTAAGTAACTGAACAAGTTCCGTCATCTGTGTTGAATCACATTTCGTCAACTTGTGACGATATTTGTGAAAACTAGACGAGATGTGAATTTACACGGAACGTCCTTCCGTTTACTTAATAACTCATGTGCTGTGGCCATTTTGGCATAGTGTGAACCCTTAACTCGTTTGACACCTCGGTATATTCCCTTGTAACAGGTTTATTATTATTACTTATATAAGGACTAAAAGGGTACATATCTGTCATCTTCTACGCCTTAAATTTAAATGGTTGCTTTTCATATTTGCCTATCTGATGAGGAGAATGAAATGTTATCAGATGTTTAAAGCTGTCAATATTCGTACTCGAATAGAATCATTGATTTCCAAATTGAGTTTTCCACTTGCATCACTCTGATATGGACCCCACACACAGACGCACAAAACGACATTCACAATTCACATCAACTCTTGAACAATAGGATCTTGGCTACTGAACATGTAAATGATGCTGGTTCCATTTACGTACGCGAGATTCTTTTTTTGTTAAGTAGCAATCAAGGAATGTCTTTTTTGAAGTGTGACATGAGAGACGAAGAAAGTTATTTTGTGGCCGATTAGACGATGTGGTGGTCTGACACCTTCATCATTGTGTTTAGCGATTCGCTCCAAACTGTAGGAGGGAGTGAGTGAAGAGATCTTATTTCTCTTTTGGATTCAGACACGAGAACAATGATAATCGTTTGGCATTCAGCATCTCCATCATCAACCAACATCACTCTTTCTGCTCTCCTCTAAGTGCTAGCTGTCCATCATTATTACTTATAAACGAGTTATCATTTCAGCTGCAAAACTCATGACTATGTACATAAATGCATAGGTATAGAGGTATAGTACATATGTATGTACACACCTAAAATGCATAAGCGGTTGTGAAACTAAAAGGCAAAGCACCAATAGCAAGCCATACACAAAAAACTACAGGTTATGTAATTATTTAGGCTTACCAATTGATTTTGATATGCCGTAACTGCAGTGAAAACTGTTTCTGGAAACAAAAACGTTCGGAAAGATTCAGACTCCAGGTCACTCACAAATGCTCCGCTGGACATCATCCCTTCTCTCCACTTGACCAGATGCACTCTTGGTTGGTAACGATGCATGGAGTTTAGTACCAACTGTAAAAACAGCACCATTGAGATAAGAGTTCTTTAAGGTTTAAATAAAAAAATAAAATTCCAAAGTTCAGCACCAATTTGCTCTCGAAAGCAGATTTCTAAAAAAACAATGGGATATTATTAGTATACAGTACAAACGTACTGTACAGCAGGCTTACCTGTCCGCTCCTACCTACACATTTCCCTATAACCTATTCGAGCGGACAACCAAGCCTGCTGTACAGACGCCGATGCATGATAAGAGTTAAGCTTCATTTTTGTAAAAGAAAAAAAAACAATTCTGCGGAAGGATTATTATAGCCGTAAAATTTGATTTTTCTAAAGTGCTCAGAAACAAATTTTGCACCAGACTATTTAAAAAAAAGTGGATTCTAATTGGTTAAAAATATATGTAAGATGGCTTGGAACATTGACCTTGGAAGAGAGAGTAATTAATATTTAAAAGAGATAATACTCACATGTCCGTGTTTATCCATTTCATTGTTTGTCAACTTGACCTATAAGAAGAATTATTAGCATTCGTCAGTACATATGCATCTCAAAAAAAACGTACTGGTCGTCAATATTTTTTTACCTTTTCAAAAGAAACGACCTGCTTCTTGAGCTGCTCACCGTTAAATGGAGAATCTGGATGAATGTGAAGCCTCGCAGGAGCTGGATAAAACATTTTCATGTCTTAATCTCTAATTTAACAATGGAAACTGAAACATTCGAACCGGGGATCAATCAAGTATGATTGAGTGATTGATAGCCGTACGCTGTAGCATTAAACCTATTGTTGTACTATAGTTTCATTCTAATGAACTGTAGAGGCGGACCAAGAAAGTGAGATAAATAATACGTGTTAATTGGATGGCTACATAAGTCCCTACCTACACGGTCCTTGCATGAAAAATACTACATATACTTCTATGTAGAATTAGCGTTTCTGTCACGATGAAAGTTGTGTGAGGTTATATTTCATGCACAAATAAGTGATAAATTAGGTCCTAATACATAAATGCAACTCTTTCAAATACATATCACACGAATATGTGACACATAAATACATAGTTGCACGACTAAATAAGATATGGGGAATTCGGCTGATAATCGTAATAATGTCGTCAGATATACCTTGCGCTTGAATCAGAGCATGTATCAAAGTGTAATTCGAAAAAAAAGATTGATAACTTACCAGGAGGATCTGCTTTTCCAGCCACGAGCCACGACGAACGGTGATAGGCATAACGATAGCTGTAACAGCAACAACAACCAATTAATATGCAAAAGTATTCGTACTGACAATTTTGAAGTTATCGGCAAAAAATGAAGGTCGTGTTTACAAGCATTAGTCAGTTAGGCATTTATTAAAATAAGTTGAGGCTGTGTACTCACCGCTTGTTATCCACAGGTACAATGTCCATCAACACGGCATATCTCTGGTCAGGGGACAGGTTGGAAAAACTCGTTCTGATTACCGGAAACATCCTTCTACGACAGGGCCAATGGCAAAACAGATCATCATCAGTATTAAAGACACCTCAGGTTAATTGTTGTCAGATCATTATACATATGGACTGGATATTTACTATTTATGCATATGCACATGTCGTAGTCTAAATAATAACTCATCTTCATCATCTGAATAATAAATGTGACTGCCAGCATCATACATAGTACTAGAATATTCTCGATTAATTAAAACTAGCATTTAGTGTAATTCCGATTATTTATGTATGCAGAATTTGGGTTGATTTATATGAATACTTTTTATATGGGTAACATATATGATGCATTATGATTAAGTCGTTGCGGTTGATTATTCCAGCATATACATATTCTTATATTTTAATAAGTAGTTCCAGTTCTTGAAAGTATGGTTGACAGTTCATAGTATATTTTTTTGTAAACAGAAACAATCAATGATCATTATTTATCCTTTTCATGCTCCAACGTCACTTCTGTCAAGACTGTCAACTCTCGCACCAAAATATTATTCCTCGACTCAATAATAAACAGTCACCAACCGAGATGACAAAATGACAATCGTAATCCTTCCATTCAAAAATGAAAATTAATTTGATTCGGTTGTTCTCTTTGCAACGTGAGATTTTTTGTGCCTACGTTACTACGAGCTCGCTATTTGGAATTTGGAAATATGGTATCTAAAATGATAGTCATAAATTATCCACTAAACGCTAACAAGTATTAAAGGCAGCCTCATTTCCAACTTAGTCAATTTGGAGAAGATAAGTTTGAAGGGGTGGTGTGAGAAAGTCTTTTTATAGCGCACTTGGTTTCTCCAACTTTCCAAGTGGATTTCATTCCCGTTGAAGTCATCAAGATAAAAGTTTGCCAATATCCGTTGAGTTACAGTTAGAACCCACTCTCTCACATCATAGGAGTGAGTGGAGAGAATCCATTTACTACTCACTTACTACTCACTCACTCGCTCGCTATATCCTGCCACCACGACTACCAACCACTCGTCTCATCTCTTTCTTCCTTTCTCTCAGCCATGTTACTTCATCGGAGGAACAACAAGAGCCAGACCAAAAAGTGTAGTCGCCCTGGTATATATTTTCTTGGCGAGGTTTTTCGACTGGAGGAGATAGTGATATCTGGTCGTCGTCGTCGTCGGAGCCAAGTTCATCCCAGAGGAAATCCTCCTGGAGAAAGATGAGAAAATGGAGATGAGAGTCTCGACAGGCTGGAATGAGTGAAGCGTTTGGCTTGCTAAAGGACTGAAAAGCACTTTTCAGCTGTGCGAAAAGTTGAGATGCGAGTTGAAGTGCCACTTTTAAACTCTATTTTGATCTCTCTTATTTCCATTCCACGCGACCGTCTTGCGTCCCTCCTCTCATCTCTCGACCCAACAATAAAAACTTTCCCAGCTCACCACGTCTCAAGCCCGGCTGCTCCTTACCACAGGGGCTCTGATGGAGATAATTTGATGCAAATTCCTTCAGGGACCTTCATTTACATCTCATGTATGAAATTGCATGGATGGAACTTTTCAGAGGGTTTACAAAAATACGGCTGCATAAGATCATCAGTTTCGTCCTGGGAACGCCAACAGGATACCGCAGCAGTCCAGCAGTATTATTATTACTATTACTATTATTATTATTGGTAGTAAGTAATAGGAGCTGGGCAAATAATATTGAGAGAACTGGATGAATTGAGTGGTGGTTGGTGGTGGCAGTGGTGGTGCGGTGATGGGTTGAATTTTACGAGATTCTGGAAACGATCTCATTTGAATTCAGTCCAAGTATGTAAAAGTGGCTTTCATCTTCATTTCCATGAAGCCATAATTTGCTTAAATTATGAGGCAAAGTATACGAGAGGCCCATTTGTGTAGTGCATAACTCAATGAAGCCTAAAGAGAGATTTGGCAGTCATTTGGTATTACTACAGCTGCAGATAAAGTGAGACTGCTACTACTGCTCGTACGTATAAGATGTACTTATGTACATTCAAGTCTCAAGTGCAGTATGTCGTACGTACTATGCGGATCCATTCTGTGTCCATATTGGGAGTGTTGTGAGAACAGTGTCGCTCGTGTTCTTAAAGCTGGAATGATATTTCTCCACTGCTGAAAGAGGGAAGAACGTGTGGTCTGGCATGAGGGACTATCACTAAAAATATCTCCTTTATGCCCCAGCAGACAGGAGCAAGTATGAGAAACAGTCTTCTTCCAATTTAAGGGCTTACGAACAGCGGAACGACCGAAATTGCTGCCGCAGTCACATCAGATCGTTTACATAAAATATATCGCTCAAAGTAGTGAACAGCGTGGCAATAAAGACAATAGTTGTGGAGAGAGCAGAGTTACATTATCACGAGAGAGCCGTGGCAGAGATAGCTGCTCCACCACGACTGCGACAGCGTTGTTTTGGCAAAGAGCCGCATAAAACAGTCTTATAACCAAGTTAGCAGATAAAATCGAGGCTTACGAAAAGTTACTCTTGCTGATGGATACGAAAATTATCTGCCAAACTTGAAATTAGAACTGTTAATGGCCGCATCGACGATGTTCCGTTTCTCGTCCTTTCTCCTCATTATTCCGTCCTCACGACTCCTCTCTCCGCTCAAGCACAATGACAACACTAACGACCACAGATTTAGCATTTCCTCACACCACCCACCACCATCTCCACGAATAATGTGCAGTACCACCACGCCATCCTTCGCCTCGCCTGCGCCCGTCATCGTTCCCGTATAATCATCAACTACTAAACTCAACAACCAGCTTCACATTCCATATCAGGCTTTTTTCTCTCGCTCTCTCAACTTTCCACTATAATTTTTAATACGTCGGCTCCACATGCGTGAATCTCATCATGCATACTTCCATATCCACGAGTTGCCATCTCGTTGATAACGTGGTGGCATGTCGGCAGTAAACCATGCGATACTGCATAAAACTGAGGAATGTCATAAAAATGAGAATGTAAAATAGAGTAAAATGCGAGACCGTCAAGGGAAAATGTGGGATAATTGCGGGATGGGATGATGGGAGGAAGGGAAGAGTGAGGCATCAGCGGTTGGTGGGATCTAGGAGCACTTCCGGTGGGATGTAATGTGTTGATTTAGCAGGACCAATGGGGAGGAGATGGGTTCAGTTCAGAAATATGCTCGGTTTTTTGGGAGAGGGCGAGCGGTCTTGTTTCCCTGCCCAGTATTGATCATCATCCTTCTTCTCCTTTCTCGGCTCCGCGTTTCACCACCAACTCACTTTCCTCCTCGTCCCCCTCTCCACAATTTCCATACTTGGAGCCATGCAGACATAAATACACCCACCACATTCCACCTCCTCCCTTCCCTGCTCATTCTTACGTACATAACATGTAGGCTTATTACTTACTGCATATGCACATTCCAGCATTGTTATTATTTTCTGACCTTGTTACAAAATAACAAAAAAATGTGGAAAAGTCTTGCAACCTAAATGTACGAATCTTTGGTTCGAACGTAGTCATTCAGGGAGAAAAAATAGTTTTTCCACAAATTCAGACAAGTACAAATGATTTGCATGGTTGTCTTGAAAGAGGAAGCGGAGGAAGATTATGAGGAAAACGTATAGAGGGCCAAATAGGGATAAAGCTCGAGGGATTGTAGTCGTGGTAGACCATTTGGGTTGGTGTGGAGAGCAGAGATGGATAAGATGCTTTATACTTTCTTCCTCCAGCCTCATCTTTTCGCGAGGAGAGAGAGAGGAGGACGAGGTGGAAGGAGAAAGTCCAAGTCAAGTTGAAAAGTTTTTGGTGCTGGTGAGTGAAGGTGCAATAAGTTTGGAGGAGGAAAAATATCCATCTCTCAACTGGTACTCTGAGGGAATTGGGCGATGGTGAAATCCTTCGTCGTTACTACCGAGGCGTGAAAGAGGAGAAAGTCAGTCTACGAGACAGTGAAATGTACATCAATATTTCATTGGACCAAAGAGTGAGAACTTGCTAACCTTCGAAATGAGCCCAATTTCTTGATGTGAAGCTGATGGATGAAGTTTTATGACCACGGCCGTGCCTTTCAGACTACGAACATACGCGAGGATGGAAGTTGAACCGGAATCATCACCCACTACTGACACCACATCAGCGTCAAAGTCGTGAAAAGTTTTATTATTTCTCAACTTGAATCACACTCTGTTCTATTTATTTCCCAAGAAGCAATATAAAATTTCTCCACTTATTATTTCCTTCCTCCTAAAAACTGACTGAGTGATATGACCGCCCCACAATTCAATTCCACTCGTGAGCTACCTATGATGTACGTATGTATGTACATACGTGGGAATTGATTTGTTCTCTTGCCAATTCCCTTCCTGCGAGTCGTCTCATCAAGAGAAATATACGCGCATCCCACTTTTATGATGCATATACATATATACTACTATATATTACTAGTAAATATTACTAATACTAATGTGATCTTTAGACCAAGCTGAGGTTTTACACATGCAACCATTGTGAAAGTGATTTTGATAACGTTCGTCTTATCCATAAATTATCACTTTTCTGGCGTTGTCTACGGGTTAGAAATTTGAATAAGAGGTAGGGACTCGCTACTACAGAGAGAGAGATGCGATGGGATTTTTAATGTTTTATTTAATATTCAGTACCCACATCGCATAAACAGCAGCGATGGCAATAAGCAATGGTCATTGTAATTGACTCCATAACTCATTCCAGCACCATTCACCAGGGCTTCTAAAACTCGAACCTGGTGATCTTTCGCAAAGATACACTTGTAACGAAATCACTGTTGAAGTGACATTTACCTCATGCGGTTTCATCTCTAATGGAACACACCCCGTTTCATCCCATCATGTCCCACCACTTACTGCACTCGAATAAGGCTTCCTCCTCCTAATAGAAGACATGCATTCAATACTTGGATTTATCACATTTATCCAACGGACGGTGGCTGGTGGGAGGAGGATTAATGAAAAGTTGACAGAAAATTGCCCCACGCAGCTCGGACATTATCAT